GTTTAGTTAGGCCATGTTTACTTACAAGAGCCGAGAGCTTACGTCGACCAGTGACTTTTGGTCTCATCTTGTCTCGAGGCAATTTGTGATTAAGAAAACTTCTGGCAGACAAGTTGACTGAATTTCAGCTAGGGGCTAACGATGTAAAAATAAATTACCACAGTTAGAGAGAAATCGGATGCACAAAATGAGAATTGCAAAGTGAGATTAGTGAACAACGGGCATAGACTAGCAAAACTCGAAAGGAGATGGCAGCGGGCAGTTCTTGGAGAAAAGGCCTGTATTTAAGGAAATTCAAACAAAAAACAGGTACTAAAATCGTTAGATCTCACAGAAAAACCACTAAAAATAATATCCTCCACTTATCTTCAAATTTAAAACCAGCGGCTTGACCTTGTCTGTGATATTCAAGTCTCCTCGTCCGCTTGTTGCTAGATCGCAAACGAATAACTTAGCATTCGTTAATACTGAGATTATGAGATCACACCGTTCTTGTAAACGATCTAAGTTTGTTTTGTAACTCTAACGCAGCCTCCGGCTTCAGATCATCGGCGAACATGACCCTCTCGCGGTTCAGATAGTCCAGGTGGTCGTCTACATATATTTAAAATGGAATGGACACAAAACACTCTTCTGCGGAACGCATTGTGGACGCTTCCCAGCTCGGATTCAGCATTCCCAATACAACCAGGCGAAAGTCTGCCTGTGATAATGTCGGCCTGACCTATTAGTAGATTCCAGAAAAAATGGCTAAGGGAATTCTCCCCGCCTAAATGTCGCTATCTGTGTTTTGATCCTTATAGGTTACCCCACTCAGTGTTCTTTCAGGGCGCACTTATGACTGAATGTACTATCATCAAGTATTTAGGTTTAAACTACACAGATAATCTTGATCAATCGCCACACGCTGACAGAACTACAGCCAGAGCTGACCAAATTTGTAGCTAAATTTCTTACATTTTTTATTTTCCTGAAATTAAATGGAGACTATTTCGTATGTTTGTACTTCCCAGTCTTAGGTTTGATGAACGAGGCTAGTAGTTCAAAAATTGAAAAATTTCAAAGACGTTTTACTAGAAAAGTTTTAGGCACGGAACATCTAAACATCCCCTATTCAGATGGATGCCAACTAAATAACCTAAACTTTTTTGGGTGCGAATACTAGAAACAGGCTTCTGTCTCCTCTTTCTCATTTATAAATGTTCAAATCTCTCTCGGATTTCAGCACTTATCCCTGGTAGTCGCCCATACAATCTTCACAACTCTTCCTTGATTATACCTCCTCCTGCTTCCTCCACCTCTAAGCGCTCTCTTTTTTCGCTTCCAGGTATACTTTCCTTTGGAATAGCCTTTCAAGAAATATAAAATCTTCAGATAATCTACACAAGTTTGAGAGAAGGCTACGCCCTTATCTGAATACTGACTCCATTAAACTTTTATTTTCCTCATCCTTCCCGGTCAACTTTCTTTATGACACCGAGAAACGGCCACTAGGAATATAGGACGCCGCCATTAAATTTTCGTATCCGCTCACATTTCCTTTTGTGTGTAGTATCGCTTCCTAGAGTTTTTTCTCCCATAGTGTTAATCCAGTCCTACTCATTTTGTTTATATGTTAGGAGTTTTTTCACTGCTCGTTCATCATTATTCGTAACGTACTACTTATTCAATAACTATGAATTAAGTATTGTGTAGATTCTGTTTACCTGTTCTCAAATTCCAAAATTCATGTAAAGGTTATTTTTACTTGCTATGAACTGACCTCACCGGGTCTCGAATAAAAATTACTATCATTCCCATTCACAACAACTTGAGGTAATCTAAATGTCAGCTGTCTGTGTGGAACACTATTAAAGCCTTTCTGAAATGAGTGCGCACTACTTCTACTGATAAACCCATGGCAGTTTATTTCGTCCAGTTCGCCGTAGATATAAGCAGGCTTCTTAGGCAGGGCCGATTCCTACAAAATATATGCTGAATAACACTTGGCAAGTTGTTTTCCTCAAAATGCCGCACTAACTCCGTTTTTACTGTCTTCTCCATCAGGTTGTAACGGCAACTTTTGAGACTCACTGGTCCGAAACTAGTTGGGAGGCTGATGTTGGCTTGCTTCCAGTCACTAGGCTGTTCCCGGCCTCCATCAAAGTTTCGAAAACCCTGCAGAGCGGAAAGACCACTTGGTATGCGAGCTTGTTCACGGCTTCTGCGAATGCGCAGACGGACAAGTCGATTTAGCTAGCTGTAATTAACTTAACGTTTTCCTAACCGTGTCTATTGTGAGGGTCATTGTACAGAAATTATCGCTAGGTTTGGTTATTGGAAATTGTAGTCTGTCGTCGATAGCCGGCTCTTCGTTATACACGGATATGAAGGAATCAGTTCAAAGATTTGTCTCGTTGGGGCTTACAGGCAATTTATTTCTATAGCAATTCTGTCGACAGCGAATATGGTCCAGGTTGTGTATTACCCTATATACATAGGCAAGGAATTTTATGATTTTCTGATATTCGTTTGACTATTTTTGACTTAAATGCCCGTCTTTCCCTCTTCAGCAGATTCCGACACATGTTTCTCTGTTTTTTTTTAAAACCGCTTAGATGCTTCTGTTGCTGGCATGTGGCATAATTTTTCCAGAGTCTTATTTTCGTTCTTTATTTCCAACGTCACCTACTCGGCACAGCAGACTTTAGATTTCCTCCTAAGTGAGCAACAGCTCTCTAGCACAAGCTGAATTGAGTTTGGATCAAGTACTTGTGTTAAGTTAACGTTCACTTCCTTCAGTCAGTTGTTTGTTTGGAAACAACTCCCTTCCCATACAGTTTTTCCTTGCCCACTCAAATTTTAGGCTTAGAAAAATGACTACGATGAGCTTCTAACAAATCGGCTGCTATCCATTACAGAATCTCTTGACTGTTTTAGCATACTGGGTAACAAAATCACCGGAAACCAAATTAAGACGTATTTGGCTTGATTCAGTGCGCCAGTTTCTACTTGACTTTTGGCGAGTTAAAATTTTCAAGTGGCATTACGTGTTTACTGTGATAAGTTTCCTTCATCTCGGTAATGTTTGCACCGGCGCCGAGCTGGCAGGCAAATTGACCTCTAAGAGTCTGGCCACTTTTCTTTAACGGTGTTGTTTGATTTAAGGCAACCGGGAACAACGTGGTGTAGAGGCGCGCATCACACCTGCACTTGGATAACAGGTCGTCGGACCCTGGCTTTTTCACCGGGGTCATTAGTCGGATTGATGCATGGGACTAACGGCTAGGACTAATTACATACAAGTTGCTAGTCGTGAGTACGTTCTCAGCATTAGAAACCCCGACATGAACGGAAATTTCGCTCCTTTTTCCCGCACTATCGGGATAAATTGGAACTTATTTTATTTTTTGCACTTTCTCCACGAACATACGTCCTTTTTGTGGGCGCCGATTGAGATTTCTTCTATATCTTGCTCACACTGCCTGACTCCTACCTATTATCTGATGTCCCCGTCCAGTCTCAGGGGCTCCGTGGTCCAAACTAAAGGGGAAGCTCCTCTGACTTAAGGCCGTGTCTGATCTATACTGCTATCACCAGTTCATCAGAGGGAATCGCTCGTGTGGGTGGAGGCCTTCAGCTATTCTTTGTCCCGTACGCTCTCTTCTTGAGGACATGCAGATTGGGGAGAAACTGGCCACAGAGATATTTCTTGAACGTCTGCTAACGGACGACGAATCAATCGTGACAGCCGGTCCAGAAGATCCCTCTGCTTCACGGCTGGCCGGGATGGCGGGCCGGATGATGGAAGTGCAGCAGTTGCAGCCGCCTTCCACCGTCCTGCATGCCATTTCGTCATTGTCGACGAAAGGTGATCAGTTTGAGAGACAAATGGCGGCCATGGAGATCGAGGTGGCCTCTTTGAAACCCCGGCTCACACGCTCAACCTATCGTCAATCATCCAGTCGTCGACGATTTCATTCTTGACCTCTGACCACCGATGTTTTCTGGTGCCATACGAACTTTGGCTCCAAAAACAATTGATGTGTTTTATCCCGTTTTTCGCTCTGCCCAGGGGAACGCGCAGGCCGGAAAGTAAAAGCGGCCAATCTTTATAGTAACCATATCGTTTCCGCCCTTTACGTCAGCAACAAAGAGGGTGGCAAGTGATTCCTTGTCGACACCGGCGCTCAAATCACCGTACTTCAATCTGCGGCTGCCGACCGACGTTGCCAAAATCCTGATCTTTTCCTCCAGGCCGTCGATTCTTCCCTAGAGGTCACCTGTGGATCCCACTTCTGCTCCCTGCATATTGGTTTCAGGTGACTATTTCCCCGTATCTTCGTGGTGGCTGTGGATTCAACTGTTATGACCCGTCTGGTACTTGAAATCCCGTGGAGCGTATACGCACTCGACCCTTGTTCCCAATACCAACGCGACAGAGAAGGAGAACGCGACCGGCCACGAAAATGTGTATTAGGAAATTGCAAGTCAAACTTAACTGGATGTAACGCATATTTAAAACGCCCTACTGTGCTTCGCCGGTATTCGGCCCAATGCCCTTCGAGAAGAACATTCCAGACGAGCCGGTCGATTATCCGAATATGCAGATCGATCAGGCCCGAGAGGAAAAGCCGATGGAGAGGCGCCACGATTAAGATGACAGTACAGTAGAGAAAACGCACGTGGCCTCCCGTGATTGGCTGGCTCTTGTTTATGGGAGCATAGGCACTCTCAACATTAGGTAACTTGACAGTCCCTGGGCATCTCTAGTGCACATGGTCTCCAAGGCGTAGATGAATGATTGGCGTGCTGGTACCGATTACAGGGCCTTGAATCATATCACAGTGTCAGGTCGGTACCCGGTCGCGCATCGTCGGAACTTTGTCGGAGCTCTCTTTGACTAAATCATTTTCTCGAAGATTGGCTTAGAGCGGGCTTTTCATTAAATCCCCAGTGTGCCTGTGGACGTCCCACAAAGGGCTGTGCCGACTCCCTTTGGCTTGTTCGAAATCCTTCGCATGACATTTCCTCTCCGGATTACTCCATAGATATTGGGGCATTTCATTGACGGTGTCTTACGTGCACTACTTTTCGTCTATCCTAGCGCTGACCATGCCATAATCACAAGTCCTAGTCGCTAATCGGGATCCTGAGAGATATTTCCAACATCTGATCTGGCTTCTCGACCGTTTGTAGAAATTTGTAACTTTAGTATAATTTAGTATATACAAGGGACATAGGCTGAGCCTTTAAAAACCCTATTTACAGACAAAGACGGAAAAAACCTGCACATATGCATGTAGATATGCGACACATATTATCAGTTCTTGTCAAACAAATATATGGACATCATACAAAATGTAATCAAGTCCTCGATTAAATGTCTGATTGCTGTCCGATAGAACAAGTGAATTAAGTAGTTTGTTCCAATCTTCATCACCTGACGAGAGAATAAGCTGGTCCGTTCATCAAGTTTGGCGTACCCTGTCTTCAATTTACATTAGTGGCCTCGCAGATTTGTCGTATGTGCTAGTTCAAAAAATCTGCCAATCTAAGTCCACAGTCCACTCCTCTGACGAGTGTGAAGATCATGGTTATGTCCCTCTGTATTGCCTATAAGAGAGAGGAAAGGGTTTGAGCCTTTCTAGCTGTTCCTCATAAGGTAGGCTCTTCAGCCCGCCGACTAGTTTATTCGCTCTGCGGTGCGCCTTCTCCAACAGAGTGCAATCTTGCTTCATCCAGGAGCGCCATGCCTGAATACCATATTCAAAAATCGGTCGGGTAAATATCCTAAACAGTCGACCAAAAATCTGTTCGTCTAAGTTAAGGAAGGATCTCCTGATCGCTCCCAGGATATCCATAGCCTTTTCAGTATTTGTCGCAATGAGACGAGGCCTTAAGTGTAGATGTCATCCATACACCTGGGTCCTTTACTTCGTCTACAAGCTCGAGTTCGTGACCTCCAATAGAATGCTGATATTGGGATCTCAAGTCCTTTCTGCAACTAGACCTTAGTCTGATAACGACAGTGCTGCGGTTGATTTCAGTCGGTTTGCAAGTTTAGCGTTCTCTGACTTTTAACTCGAACTCCAGTTCGGCGCGAATACAGTGTCGCAACAGTGAAGAAAACTTTTCCTCCCGTCCACCTGTCTTACGGGAATGGTGTTAGGAGGGGTTGTACGGGTGGGGCCTCTAAAACGTGCCAAACAGCAAGTAATATAGTGCGCGATAATTAAAAAATTACATTTACGCCAAAATTTGTTTTAATGCATCAAACGAACCTCATATATGACCCTCACGCTGAAAAAGCAGCCTATGGGAAGCCGGGAGGGGACCTAGGACGTCGTGCGTTAACCCTATTGGCCGGGTTAGAACGGAAGCCGTAGAGGCCAGAGGCTTGACCAATGGGCTGGTGGGAGTGCATATGTTTTGCGCGCTGGGCGGGAGGAAATTAATGGCGCAGGGTTTGCCGTTTTCTCTGAAAAAGGCAACAGCAGGGAGGCATCGAGTGCGCGATAGTAGGTATGGCCAATGGATGCCATGGCGCCGTTAGCGTACGCATACGACTTCCATGGCGGTAGGTCGAGCAGGGACGAAAAGCGGTTGATTAGGTAAAGCAAGTTCGCTAATTATGGTGTGCCTATGAACAGGTAGGACAGAAATGCAGTATATAGTATGCTGTATGGGGAGGCATATCGAACCCTAGGTTAGGGTTAGCGGAGACTGTGAAATGTGGGCATTTTAAGAAGATGATCACGCTCTGTCCTAACCTGCCGACACACTGGTTAATGAAGTAACCGACTGATGTAGTAGCATGAATTTTTCGTATTGAATCAATTATATTTCATGGAAAACATGCATAAAAATATGCATTTGTTGCCCATTAGGTACAAAATTACGTCTTTGTCCAATTTTACACTCAAATTCGGTTGGAAAAAGTTCCTAATTATGACATTTTTTAATAACCGTGGAATGCCCATTCATAAAACACCGAGTCTCTGTAGTTGCTGATGTTGCTTGTAAAATTTACAATATGGTTCAAATCCACTGCTGAATTCTGTGGACCGCCTATGGTCTCCTCTGAATACCGGAAGGTTTTCCGTACGCGGAAAATATATGGCCCGAGTTTCTGAAGTCTAAATGTAAGTTTAACTGCAGGTCAGGTTCGAAATTATGCGGGAATTGGAAAACTCTTCGAAAACTGAATTAAAGCCGTCCTTTGAGTTTAAAATTAGGAAGATGATGCAATTTTCTATCCAGGAAATAAAAAAAATGACTACGTTTATGCACATTTTCCATGAAATATAAGTGCATTTTTAACGGTATCGAACACGAATGAGAAAAATTCACACTACCTAAGTAGTCATTTTCCACAGAGTGTGGGTTTTGCAAGCGGCCAAAAAGAAGTTCCTTCAAAAACCGACATCCCGTGGTAACTGAATCACTATAGATTTACACTGCAAGATCATTAATTTTGCTACCCTGCCTAAGTGATCTGTTCGAAACGAAGAAGCATTTCAGAAATTCGGTTGACTTTTCTTGAGTTTGTCCACCTACTTTAGGTAAAGCTGTAATATTAGTTAAAGCGTAGAACAATCCCATGACATATCGGTTAACTCAGGTGAACCGGTATTTGAACATGTGAATGGATTATTCAACAGAGAGCCTCTTAATAATAATGCCATTGGTAGATTACGTACACGAAGTCACTAAGAAGGCCACCATAGTAAACCGTGCCATTGACAGTAAAACGTTTGCTTAGGTAACACAGTGTGGTCTGTTATGAAAGTAAGTCCCGAGTACGTTAAGGAGTATTTCAAAGCATGCATCGTCATTTATAAATACTCGACGCACCCACAGGTGTGTACGTTATCGGGTACTCATGCAGGCTGGAACCGGTGGGGAAGGGAAGGAGTGAGCGAACAGATAACATGAGTAATAGACCCGGAAAACGCAAGTAGTCTGCCTTGCAACTAATTGTCTCAGTTATTACTTATATGAGCAGGAAGTCTAAGAAAATGTCTGCTGCTTAGACAACTGCATGAGTTCATTAGATTGGTTATACTACTCGCCTTCATCGTACGGACTGGAAGACCCATACTAAATAAGAGAGCGCTACCTCTGCAGGCAAAGAACTAATAAGTGGTCGGCAGTGTCGTAAAAGGAGATAGCAAACGAAAAGGACGAAGTTTACTATTAATGTGGTTACTTACGAGTAGTATAGCGGGCCACGAGCTGCGTATTTTTATCTACCCAATGTCACGAGACGTTTTAATTCCGTGAAATGACCGTCCATAAAACATTATACTCCTGTAGTTAGTGATGTTGCTGGTAAAGTTTACGATATAACTCGAATTCCCTGCAAGATTTAATGAACCCCTTATGGTTTCCTCTTAATGTATGATATTCCTCACGCAGAAAATGTATGATGTGTAGGTTCTAAACCTTGAATGCTGCGTAACCGCAGGTAGGACTCAAAGTTAATCGGCAATTGGAAGATGTTTAGAAAACCAAATGATACCCTTCCTTTGAGTATGAAATTTAAAGAAGACGTAATTTTCTACTGAATGAGTGAAAGAAAGAATAAGTACATGCGTGCTTCCCATGACATGGAATTTAATTTGCAAGGCGCTCTAAAGTCTACGAAAAAAATCATACTAGATAAATAGTCATTGTTTGCGAAAGGCCGGTGTTGCTTGCGGCCGGAAAGATGTTCCTTTGAAAGCCAGCGTCCTGCGGTAAATGAATTATTATATGATTAAGCTGCGAGATCATTAGGTGCAAAACCTTACCTAAGTAGTCTTTTCGAAACGAAAACACCTTTCAGAAATCCAGTTAACATTTGTAGACTTAGCACACTGACTCATATCGCTGACCGATAGTACTAAGTATGTCACTGCTACCTTTATCTGCCGAACAGCAGATAGCAGAAGTAACGGTTAAGACTGATACTGCTAGTAGTAAAGGAATGAATTAGCTAGTAA